AGAGCATAATAAATTAATATGATTTGGACACACATATCTTGATGTATGCAACCACTATATATATACTGTAATAAGAAAACTAGAAAATAATAGTGTTTTTGTACTGGTCACTCATGTACTGAGTGAAATAATGAAACATATAGTCAACAGTCTATATAACAATAATCAATATCATATTCTGCATTTTTAGTCAATTATATCAATAATGCAGTAAATAGGACGAAGCTACTCCTGCCATTGTTCAGTTAAGTAAAACTTAATTTCAGTTATTTCATATCGTTATGATAGCATTCATTGTACGTCTACTCTCTATAGATACCAGTATTATGATATTAATAAAAGAATATAAATTATGTGCCATAATTGTTATTATTTTGGATTGTTTCTTAAGTATTAGTTATAAGGCATATTCTAATAGGATGAAACACAATAAAATTAACGAGCCATAGTTAACTACAATAAAAACTATAAAACCAACGCACTGCAGTTAAGTACAATACGCTATTAAACTAATGCATGACAGTTAACTACTAACACTATAAAGCTAACTCACAGCATTTAACTTCCAAATATTAACGCACCACAGTTATGTAACAAGTACTCTAAACCTAAAAGACAACAGTTAAGTACCAAACACTATAAATCTGATGTATCACAGATAAGTAACAAACACTGTAAGCCTAGCGCAGTAAAATTATGAACTAAACTATAAAATCAACGAAACACAGTTAAGTGCTAAACTCTATAAAACTACCACACAACAGTTAAGTACAAAACACTATAAACTAACGTACAACAGTTAAGTACGAACATTTTTAAGCTGGCATACCAAAACTAAGTAACAAACATTATAAAATTAATATACCAGAGTTAAGTAACAAATTATATAAAACCAACGTACAACACTATTAAAGTAAGAAATAATATTAAACCTACGCATGACAGTTAAGTAACACATACCATGTGATGAACATATATATATATGTTTAAGTGACGGCTTCAGGATTTATGTTGTAAGTTCAAAGATAATCTATTTGATTCACAATAAGAATTCGACAATATAGTTATATCATAAAAGCTGTATTTCAAACATTATCGTTCTCGTCTACTATATACGACGTGGGTTGTGTGTTAAACATTATCGTTCTCGTCTACTATATACGATGTGGGTTGTATATTAAACATTATCGTGCTCATCTACTATATACGATTTCGGTTGTATGTTAAACATTCTCATGCCCATCTACTCCCTTAAATAGAAAAACATGGAGGTCTTATCTTGACTGAACAAACATGTAAAATGTAAATCAAATTAGTGCAATCACAACGAGAAATAAGTGGGTTATCATTTTCACTTTTATATTCGCGTTAATAATGTGAGATTAAAAGTTGTAGCAAAGAAACTAGAAATAATGAAACATGACATGACTACAGTTTTCATGATAAAATGTAGATTATAACTTATTAGGCTAGATTACTATATTGAAAACAAAATATTTCTAGTCAAGCACATGTTATGTAACATATGAACAGAGGAAAGAAACTTCTCATAAAACAATACATTTTAACCTATATGTATAAGAACGTAAGCACGGTATGTTTAATAAATATAACCATTACCGGGTTGATTTTTAGCTTTAGTCTAAGTAGGTAGTTTGTTCTGGTCGGAAGTTAATATTACTTAGAATAAATGGAAATTTTAAAAGATAAACACATTAGCACAGTATTTACCAAAGGCCACTTTCATGTTGTTCCTTTTTACACAAAAAATGAAGAGCAAATGACATATATATATATATGTATATTTATCTTTGTGCTTACATTCTTCTTCATATATATGTATGAACTCTATTGTGCATGTGTTAGTTCAAAATTGGGGGAAAACTAAGTATTGAACGGTTGCTGCTATATTTCTTATTCTTGGAATAAAAATGGTGGAAAGAGGAGATATTTAACGGACTTTCTATCTTTCTTATTCCTCTGTAAAATTTTAGCTATGGTGGTAAAAGAAGGCTAAATTGTATTTGGAAATGGGCATCCCCATTTTCTACTTTTCACTTGTGAAATCCACTGGTAAGGTCGAAATTCCCATTAAGAGTGGGGCGCTGTTTCAACTTCACGACATATGAATGTTATTTTCCTGTCTATAATATATAGCTCATATATCCGAGCTGGGAGGTGAGGCAGGTGACCTACTTTAATATGTGTTTATAGATATCTTTAATTAAACGAAGTTTGTTTATTTGTCATGGTTGTTATGGGAAAATTCACTGATGTATATGAAAAGTGCAGTATGTGTCTTCGTTAGTGACCGTTCATCAGTATTGTTAGTCATCGTTACTAGTGTACGACCGACATATCGACGAGTAAGTGGAGATAAAGGAGGAGTCAGGGAAGGCCTTAGTGTCACACTATGCTTAACGGTTTAAAGTATTTAAAATTCTGACACCGCACGTGGCAAGAAATATATAGTATTTACAGGGATATGAACTAGAAACAAATGGAGATTTTTTTTAGCAAGAATATGTTTCTTACATTGTAAGGACAAATTACGTTCTCGGTTATTTTTCAATATGTGTTTTTGTTAAATAAATGTAAGTATATTGGTTTACAAGCCCATCACTTATTTTATGTTATACATATTTAAAACACACTCTTCTTGAAAATCCAACTTCATTATGCAAATTACTTTCGACGATTAACTCATGAAATCAAAATGTATGCAAAAGTAATGTATAAAATAAAGTATGTTATCCAATGAGTTTGACCTTTGCTTTTTGCCCTTGATCTTCGAGCGCTTATCTGATTGGTTAGAGATGATGTAAAGACGCTTTATGGTCGGTATGTTCGAAGCTAAAATGCTCTAAAAAAAGTGGCAGTTAATTTGAATCATACCAAATATAATATTGTTTACATAATCTGATCCATCTGAAGTAAAAACGCTAGCTAATTTAATTGTTTACAGATGTGTGTTTTTATTCAGCAAATCGACAATACCCCTAAAACAAGTTTCGAACACTAACTAGAAACCACTGTAGCTACATTTCTCAAAACATTCGGTATTCACAGACTGTAGTCTACCATGCTAACCTAAAACTACACGTAGAACTACATTTGATGTTCACCGACTTTAGTCTACCGCGCTAACCTAAAACTATACGTAGAACTACATTTGATGTTCACCGACTTTAGTCTACCGCGCTAACCCAAAACTACACGTAGAACTACATTTGATGTTCACCGACTTTAGTTTACCACGCTAACCTAAAACTACACGTAGAACTACATTTGATGTTCACCGACTTTAGTCTACCACGCTAACCTAAAACTACACGTAGAACTACATTTGATGTTCACAGACTTTAGTCTACCACGCTAGCCTAAAACTACACGTACAATTACATTTGGTGTTCACAGACTTTAGTCTACCACGCTAACCTAAAACTACACGTAGAACTACATTTGATGTTCACCGACTTTAGTCTACCACGCTAACCTAAAATCTACACGTACAAATACATTTGGAGTTCACCAACTACAATGTTTTGTATATTCGTTCAATTTGCATGCAGTATGATTTCACATGATGTACACGAATTGAAATTTAGTTCTAGGAACTTTTAATACCCTATTAATTTATTTAGCTATTCCTCGTTAACTTAGAATTGGAGTTGTATTGTCTCTTAAAAATATGATCACTGAACATCTTTCTAAGATCTAGATTATTAGAAATGACTGCGAAGCAAGATCCATTTGGCCGCTAGATTATAGGAAGTGACTACGAAGCCATATATCCATTTGGCCGCTAGATTATAGGAAATGACTACGAAGCCATATCCATTTGGCCACTAGATTATAGGAAATGACTACGAAGCCATATCCATTTGGCCGCTAGATTATAGGAAGTGACTACTGAGCCAGATCCATGTGGCTGCCAGATTATAGGAAGTGACTATGAAGTTAGATCCATGCAGGTGTCTCATAATTTATGAATACATTGATATATATTGCTACAAGAAACTATAAAGAAGCAGATGTCATAGAGCACGAAACCTTACGAAATATATCATTTCATATTCGTCTCTTTACTCTATTTGTTTGTATCTTGCAAATAGTATTAATCAAAAAATCACAAAGCAATTCCATACATATTTATATCATAGAAAATTAGTGCGACACATCGAGTTTATGCTTCAACGAAATAATGTTCGTAAGACATTGTAAATATCTGTGAAAATAATATATGTGGAACACACAATATTTTTCCCAAATCGTCTATTAATATGAATATTTTACTTAATGAAAACGTAACTAATATGCTTCAGTATTCATAGCTTTGAGTACCATTTGTGTGTCTTAGACATAAAGAGCTAGTTAGCACAAGTGAAATATCTCACTCATCCACAGTTCACCATTATGACGTACGCTTTTTTCTTTGTTCTTCACTCTAATATTAAGTTTTTCTCGTATAATATTTTCGAAATCATTTTCTGGGACAAATGTGCTCACTCTACTTTAATCTAAAGTACATTTCTGATCTTGTGTAAAAGTTCGTTTTTTTATACCAAATACAAAAGGACAGTGAAAATTTTAATTTAATAGAAAATAGAACCGAAAAAATAACATATTCTCAGCAATTTGCTGGTAGATAAATTATAAACAAATATTTATTGCCTTACCATACTTTAAAATAAACAACATTAAGTCGTATAAACGGAAAAGAAAGATACGCGTTCAACAAGAGGTAATATGATTTAGTTTATTTTTCACAAAGAATAATTATTACAATGCATATTTAAAATACTGTAAAAAATTCTTCCAACTTTACTGTGTAGTTGTTGGTTGTAAATGACACTATAAATGTAAAAAAAGCATGCAACAATTTTAGAAAAGGTAAAGAATAAACTTAACTCTATATACAGGATTTTTAGTTTCTTTTTGAATGGTTACCCATTGTGAAGGTTAGCAACTTAGTTTATGAACAAGTTTCGTAAACTTACCTTCTTGTGCAGTGGTAAGAAATGGAAGTAAACTAAAGAAAATGAGGAGCGTTCGGGTGCAAATAAGACTGAGTTCTAGTTTCCTCGGGACTCTCATGATCCTGGACTTAACAAAAGTCCGGTGTGCTCAAGCCGTGAAAAACGGTAGTTCGTGTGAGATTAATACTGGCCTGCTACAAAATCGAGTCTCAGAAAATAAGAATTGTTTAAAGGTAATAAAAATCATGCATGTTTCAATTGTTTATGTTTCGTAGTTTCCTCTGTTATATTAAATGAACTGTTTACATCAAACGGCCTGTTGGTTTACCATCGAAAGAAGTTCTGCCGAGAACTGGGATCCACAAAGATGCTTCCATCCTCACTCTCGTGGGAGTTTATTTAATGTGCACGCGGCTAGGGGCTCGCGGCTTACGGACGCCGCATGAAACTAGTCACGTGACGTTAGACATCCAGCCAGGGCTGCGAGTGCTTTGGCGCAGGAGGGATCCCGTTGCGGCTGCGGTCCCGCAAAAAGGCAGCATGAAAATAGTGATTTATTCAAACTTGCACTTGTACTAGAACATTTATAGAAACTGCTTAATTCTTTAGAACCTGCATACTCTATACTCCGCCTTGGGATCTAGCTGAAATCAGAATCGTTTCACGAGAAAGAACGCGTGTGGGGGAGATATTTATCCCTCTAATCGGTGTCTTACCATTTTGCTATTTAACAGTTGGTGCAAGAATAGGCTGGTGCACGTGACGCAACCATAACTAAGTGACCAAGCTTATACCTTTTTATCCATAAGTAATTGGGTGACGACAGACAAGGAGTTCTATCAGTTGAGCGGAGCGCACATGGGCAGATTTTATTGCCTTGTGTATAAAGTTAACGGAAATCAGCTTTAACTGTAAAAGTACGATCACATCAGATAAAGCAAGTTTAAATGTGTCACCTTTCCTTGATTTACTTGTCGTAATAGCTATTCATCGAATAGGGATAATATCTATCAAGACGTCACTCGCTACCATAGTATGATGACTCAACACTCTGCATTATTTTCATGGACCTGAGGTCCCCAGGAGAGACAAATGTGGAAAAGAGAAAGGGGATTTTCAACGTGTCTCTTATCATCAAGATTAGAATATTTGTTGAAGTTTTTCTACGTTGAAATAGGAAAGATAATGGATTTTTTTTCAAATAATTACGAAAGCACAATATAAGAGAAAATGGTGAAAGGAATACAATCGCTAATAATTTATAGGTAAAGTTGAGATAAAGCATTAGATCTGATACAATAGCAAAGTGTTTTTTAAACAACTTTAGAAATATTTATACTTATGTATATAACAGTAACGTTATTTTACAACTACTGCAAGATTAACGCTGTAAAAAAGTCTAAGAGTTTAGAAAGATATAATATACTGAAAATATCTGTGTGACTTATTATCTAGGCAATACAAATTATCATTAAAATTATACCCTTGATAGTATTAAATTACAATAAAACTGACCATTTTTGCATGTAGACTGTACAAAAGTACTTCAATTACATTTTACTTGTTTGACACTTGTAAATTATTATAAGCCTTATTGTTGTGGTATTATTGCTTAGAAATAACTTTCGCAAAAAAGATTATCTCCGAAATTAAAGTTCATTTGATAATTTAATCTCCAGATTGAGATATAATGGAAGAAAGACGATGATCGTGAAAGTGGCAGGAAAAAGTATGAAGAAGAGACGCAGAAGGGCCGAAATAAAAAGAAAAACTATATTTTTCCAAGTATGCCATAGTTTCGTTCACTTTACTGTAACTTACTGACCACACATTATACCCAAACTTAGTACTGCAATCAACTAACCATACAATGCACATAGATTTAATACCGCAACCAATCTGACCACACATTTTACACAGAATTAACACTGCAACCAAGCTGACCCCACGATCTACACAAACTTCATACTGCAGTCAAAATGTCCAAACATCTCACACAGATTTAATACTGCACAAAACGAACCTTACACTTTACACAGACTCAATACTGCAACCAAGCTGAACATACACTGTACAAAGATTCAATACTGAACCAATCTGGTCATACATTGAATAGACTTAATACGCTTTAGAAATAAATGAAACTTTTATATATAAGTGAAGAGAACGTACATGAACTAGAACAAGATGTCATCGCAAGTCCCATCAATCACAAACCAGTTAAGAGTCATCCATAGTTCTGTACATCATTTGAATAGCGAATTACAAGCCCAGGGAAACCTAAAACCAAGCAGGCCGTAGAGACAATCTGACATTGGCAACAGCTAGAAAGACGACTGGTTTTGACGAAGTAAAATAGTAGAAAGCTAAAATCCTAACAATAAAAAAACAACCCAAAAAGTATGTTCCTTCAAAACTATTATTATAAAACATTATTTTGAGAACATCCCATTGTGATGTATGTCAACCATTTCGGGAACAGGATCAGCCACCTTAAATAAAATACTATCCAAACACCCAATTACAAATTAGTTACTTATAAAAGATAGTGCAAGTTATTTAGTACATTGACCAAATAAAGTAAACACTTATCTGCCATTTTCATAAGTCTATTTTCACCAAGATTCACTGTGTTGTTATCGTTTTATTATCTCGTTTCGTAAAGCAAGCTTAGTCTAAGTATACATTATCATTCAATATGTAATTCCTATATATTTGAGCTCAAGTATAACTATGTATTTATATATATATATATTTACTGAAGCCTAAATATGGATAATTTCTATTAATTATGTGAACTAAAAAGTCATCTTACTCTTACAAAAAAAAATGTATTAGTTTTCAAAAATATTAATCAGAAAAGGCCCGGCATGGCCAGGTGGTTAGGGCGCTCGACTCGTAATCTGAGGTTCGCGTGTTCGAATCCCCGTCTCACCAAACATGCTCGCCCTTACAGCCGTGGAGGCGTTATAATGTGACGGTCAATCCCACTCTTCGTTGGTAAAAGAGTAGCCCAAGAGTTGGCGGTGGGTGGTGAAGACTAGCTGCATTCCCTCTAGTCTTACACTGCTAAATTAGGGACGGCTAGCGCAGATAGCCCTCGTGTAGCTTTGCGCGAAATTCAAAATAAACAAACAACCAGAAAAGAAAATAGAACATTCTCTATCACCATCCTTTTTAAAGCTTTACAAAATGACATAACTTCGAATACGGATATGAATTAACTTCTTGATCTAGAAGTGCTACAAATTAAGCTGTTGTCATAGTTACTACACCTATACAGTAACCTAAGTTTAACTTTTAATTACTTATTAAACTTATAAAAGATGTTTAATTACCTGATACTGATTACTAACTGTTTTTTTTTTTTGTTGCTTTTTTGTACGATACGGGTTGTCCTGAGAAGAAATTAACGTCACTTTAGAGGTCGAGATTCTTCAGGCGAGCTGATAGCATGCTAGCTCTCTACCAAGAAGATACAGGATCGAATCCTGAACTTTAGCATCACAGAAATAAACTTTCTTAGGGTTTTTCTGAAGACTGTAACAACTACCAGTAGGCATCTAGGGGAAAACGTAGTTAGTAATTAGTATATTGTAATTTATATATATATATTTTGTAATTATTTGTAATTATTATTTTTCTTATTACTATTTTCTTGCCAGCCTACAACAAGAACGGCTTGAATATTGCACCCACACCATTTGTAGAATACTAAATAATGTACTAGAAAGATCGTAGATATATTCAAAAGTCGATTTGTTTCTTTTATAATTTACATAATCTAAAAGAATATAACGATTCTGGTGTAAAGGGTGTTATCATTACCCCATACGAATATCTGGTGTTCATTTAAAAAAGCTTAAGTACAGGGTGAAACAGGAATCACCAGCCAATAATAGATGAACATTAGATCAATGTAACATTTAGATATTCAATGCTTTGTACACTATACAATCGGTGTCTTTAGAGAGCCAACCCTTACATTATATATGAAGTGAAGAAATAAAAAAACAATACATATAATATTAGATTTTATTACACACGTTCGTAGAATAATTACTATAAAATACACGAAGGGTTTATTTATAGTGATGTGAATTCATCAATAGGAAAATTAACTATGCAAACTTTCACTCAAGTAAGCATTCTTAAAAGTCTCGGCCACTTAATTCTATTTATGAAATGAGGTGAAATGAGTGGAAGTTTCTGACCATTCCAGGTTATATTTCATTCTCCGAAGGGAAATTAAATATACCTTTAACCTAAATTTCTACCATACTTGGATTGGATTATAGCGATGTTGTAGACACTTATGCTTTTCTACCGGTAAAATTTTATATGCGCTTAGTGGGGGTTGTGCCTTAATCTAGGCATATATTTTCCATTGTTATGCATCATATATAGAGAATTTAGTTTCACAGGATCTATAAATGCTCCCTATATTCTCAAACAAATCTCCATGACAATCTCTAGCTGCAGCTTAACAGTTTACATTTTGAACAAATGCGATCAAATAGTCAATACTAACAGTAAATGATCATGAGCCGTAACAGCTAGATTCTAGCTATATTTATTATCAATACAATGTACAAAGTTAGCTACCATATCAAGTAATAGTTAAGTACAAAAAAGCCTGCAAACAAGATAAATAAACAAATGGAAAGCTAAAAACCTGCAAATAGGGATCATCATAATAAAAAGTAAAGAAACAAGGCTGGCGATACTATATACATTATTAACTCAAACTACAAATCCCTATATTGACTCCAAATGTAATTCTAGGTAACAGCATGGAGCCCAAATAAGGGTTTGTAATAATGTCTATAGTATCCCCAGCCTTGTTTCCTTACTTTTTATGCTACCTATTCGCAGTTTTTAAATTCCCATTTTTATTTATCTTGTATATATTAGTAATTAATTAGATATTTTAAGCTGTTAATCATGAGAACGATTGGTTTCCGATAGTCAAAACCTCACCATAAGAACATGTAAAAAATACAAATAAACATAAATTAAAAACAATTTCCCTATTGGTACCTTTTGATAATTCAGTAATATAACATTATCGTTCGATTAGGTCTACGTGATTAGAAAGGTGACATTTTCAG